TAACCATTTTTAAGTGTAGAATTTAGTGGCATTCAGTACATTGACAATGTAGACAATTAATTCTTAATTGAATAATCCAACAAGATGACTCTTTCCCTTTCCACCTACTCCCATTTATGATCTACAAAATGTCTGATACAACAGAAACTTTCTATAATTTTGCAAAGGCCATTTCAATTGACTACACACACACACACACACACACACACAAACACACACGCAATTGGCCCTTGGTATCCTCAGTTTCTACATCTGTGGATTCAACCAAATGAGGATTGAAAATATTAGAAAAAAATAACAAAAATAACAATACAACAATAAAAATAATACAAATAAGGACAGTATAGTATAACAACTATTTGCATTCCATTTACATATATAAAAATATTTTTTGAAACAAGGTAAGCAGACCTACTCATTATTTTCAGTCACATCCTTCAACTCTAAAGGTCATTGATTTTGGTGGTTGCCAGCGTTACCTTTTCAGATATACAGTCTGAAAGGATAGCATACATTAAAAGTCGATCTCTGCAGACACTATTACATGTGTAAACCTGAAAATGCCAAATTACTTCTTGAATAGCCTCTTTGTTCCAGCTTCTCAACAGATCGCTCTCAGGTTGTCAGTTTTAGAGCAGGTTCTTATGCCCTATAGAGTAGGTCCCTTCTTCACTGGATCACGTGAGATTTTTTTTTTTAAATTGGTTATGTAACCAGGAACTGTGTTCTTTATCCTTTACTTAGGGCAGACACTATCTTTTTAATCATCTGATGATACAATCACATAAAGTAATGGTTCCAACTGTGTCAGTTTCTCTAGGGCCACTTCTCCATGTGATTTTGTGCAAATTACCCATCCTCTTCTCCAGATCTATTGAGTAAAAACCTCTGGCAGTGGGGACTGGAAATACGTATTTTAATAAGACCTAAGGAGATTTTAATGCTCATCTGGGTGTGGGAATCAGTGGATATTTCATTCCTGGAATGACTTAGTCGTGGGCTTCGGCACATCGGCAAAAAGCAGTATTTGGAAAAATATCTTCAGAATAAATTGGCTACAGTCCTTGACTTACGATAGTTTGACTGAAGATATTTTGACTTTATGATGGTGTGAAAGCGATATGCATTCAGGGGAAACCATGCTTCAGATTTTGAATTTTGATTCAAAATTTTTGTAATAGGTTGGTCCGAGTGCAGTGGTGTTTACAACTAATTGATCACAACCAGTTATAGATTCCTTTGTTCCTTCTCCACTCCCACTGCTTCACTTGAATAGCCTTAAAAAAATGTATAATAACTTTTTTATAAAATAGGCTTTGCGTTAGATGATTTTGTCCAACTATAAGCTAAGGTAAGTATTCTAAGCACGTTTAAGGTAGGCTAGGCTAAGCTATGATGTTTGATAGTTAGGCATGTTAAATTCACTTTCAACTTACGATATTTTCAACTTCTGATGGGTTTATCAGGACATAACCCCATTGTAAGTCCAAGATCATCTGTAGGTTAAAGCTAACCATGAAATAGACCTAAAGCCACGTGTAGATAATTCTCCTACACAATAATAACAATTATGACTATTACAGAATGCCTACTGTGTATCAAACTACATATTCTATACATCTTATCTCTTTAATCCTCACATTAGCTCTAGGAGTAATATTATTTTCCTATTCTACACTTGAGGATCCTGAGAATATAGAGGTGAAATGACTTGCCCAAAGCCCTATTTGAGATAAGTGACAGATTCAGAATTCAAATCCATATCTACTTGATTCCAAAGCAAAATGTTTACAAGCACTGTACAACACAGCCTCATTGCATATCTGTGTTCTCTGCTGACTGGATCTATTGCCTATACCTTCTCAGTTCACTGCTTTGTTCCTGGCTTCAGGACATTTAATGCTTATGGGAAATGGGAGACTCCCAGGACTGTAGCTATTTACTGTTGCTATTTGCCACCTTTACTTCAGATTGCTTTAATTCTTTGTTATTTGCCTGTTTGGGCAAATATATTATTTGAAAAATGCCACCAAAATGGGATATTGTATGGTACCTAAAATTCAAATGGATTAATTAGTGCTTTCTTGGCACCTAAATTTTGTCCTACAACAAAGTCTTACCCTGGTGTTCCTTGAGGAGCCACAGCAGATGCTACTGCAGGTGTGGATGTTTTAGTTCATCAGGCTGGACTGTTAATCCCTCATCAATGGACTTCTGAGATCACCACCATTTGTAAGAAATTTCAAAGGCCAC